TAATTTCTGTTGTGTAATTATATACATGTGGCCTATTTTTCCCCAAACAGCAGCTGAGGAAGAAAACCTGTGGCTGAATTGTACCACTTCAGACAACCCTTTCAGAGATGCAGGATCAAATTAAGTGGAAGGGGGAGAGCAGAGCCAAGAAATTCCTGCGCATAGTAGCAGAGCCAAGAAGGGCAGGTAGACTCCAGTCCTAGTCCCCTCACCTTTGATCCGGGATTAGTCGATTTGATCCCTAGGAAGGCACATTACAGCATGCCATCCCCTACCTGCCGTCTGTAGTGATCCCATCCAGGCGTAGGTTTATACTACCTCCACTGCTGTCTGCAGGAAACAGGCCTACCTGTGGCGTACGTGGGTACGAGCAAAGGTTGCTTTCCTACCCCCTGAGCATGTCCTGCTGGCCTCTCCTGCGGACGCGGTTGGCGGCGGCGGCGGCCGCTGTGCCTCCTTCCAGGCTCCCCAAGACAGAGTAGCGGCTAGTATCTGCACCGTCCGCCGGACGCCCCTGCCGCTGCTGCCCAGCGGATCCATGCGCCCAGAGCGCCACACACCCCAGCCAAAGGAAATAAGGCTGCAGGCAAAGCGCCCGCCGTCTCCCCATCGCGGACGGCAGGAATTCCTGAGGGGTCGGCACCGAGTCCGACTTATTCCTAGGGGAGCGCCCGCTGCTGCTCCTCGCCCGCTGCCCTCCTCGGCGAGGCGAGCGTCGCTCCTGCTGCTGGCCCTCGCCCCCTCAGCGAGACGCCTTGCGGGTCGCGGCGGTCAAGGGCACTGCTGCTCGCCTTCCACGAAGCATCTTCCTCCCCCCCCCTTCCCCCTTTTTCCTCCTAAGCAACTGGAAAGCGCGCAAATTTCACACACACGTACACACACACAGAGACACACACAAACCCCTGGTCAGAGCAACAAGTGAGGCTTCCAGTTTCTTTCGGGGGGGGGAGACCGGGGGAAAAAAGGAAAAGGGGAGGAAGGCGGGAAACGTTTTCTGAACCAGTCTTTTTACACTAACTGAAAAGAATCTTCAGAGGACCAAAATTATTCTTTGCAAAAAGAAAAAAGAAAAAGGGGGTTTTCTGCCTCAAAAATAAAACATGAAGTTATTAATGACGACAGCGCACACAAGCCAACTTCATCCGGACTGCGAACCCGGGGACAAAAAAAAAAAAAAAAAAGCAGGAACTCCTGCTACGCCGCCGCCGCCCGAGTAGCTAGGAAAGGCGGCGATCCGGTGCACGGCAAGAAGAATGAGGGGAGGAGGAAAGCGCGGCTCGGAGCGGGAGGAAAGAAAGGGCAAGGGGGAGGCGATTGCCTGCCTGTCAGTGGAGAGCAGCGGCGGCGCGCCAAACACGTGGGAAAGGAGCCCACTGGAGGCGGGCTGGAGGCTGCGCCAAGGGGGCGCCGAGAGTCGGGTGGGGGCGGAGGATGGAAAAGGAAAGTCCGCGCGGCGCTGGTAATTGGCTGAAGGAGAGGGAAAGTTTTGGAAACCGAGATGAGAGACAAGGAGCTGGGGCCGGGAAGTTGGAAGGGGGCGCTGGAGAAAACTGACGGAGGAGGAGGAGGAGGTGGGCGCCAGTCAATCAGCCCCTTCGTCCCTGGAGTACCACATCGTTGTGCCTTCTCCGGTGGCTCTTGGCATCCTCTTTGTACCCAACGAAGGGGTTAAAAGGAGGCTTTTACCCACCGCTACCGTTTTCTATCGCAATTCTTTTACACCCTCGGATAGCAACTGCCATAAAAACAAAAAGACGGATCGGATTGATTGCCAGTAAAACTTTGTGTTGCCCTTCACTTACTGAGTTTGAAAGAACTATATTTAGGCTACACAAGTAGCTTGTGGTAGTTTATCAGCGTCTATGTGTCTGACATGCACAAGGGGATTTCATAACAATTCTTCAATAATCTGACAGGCTAGAGATATCATCCCTTGTAAAAGGAACCATACTGAGAATGAAACCAATCCATAGCCACTGATGTCAATAAGAGCACTGGATCAGCTTTGATCAGTGAAACAAGGGAGGATTTATTTATTTGTTTATTGCAATGTTTCAGAAATATCCATGTCCAGATCTCCATTGTTGGCAAAATGATCTTGGAAACAGAACAATAATTCCTTGAAAAAGAAGGGTATGAAAATATTTGGCCACTCCCTTTGGTCCAACTTAAAGTTCAAGAAAGCAATATAGGAGGAGGGTGTTATTCCCCCCAAAATGGATGTTTTGCTCTTGCAGCAGAGATAGTTTCCAGAATGCTTTTGGGGAATTTTTTCTCAGCAGTCCTGCTCTAGCCCTGACCAATCTCTGGATTATGAGATATCTAGATCAGTTTAAGCTATTATTCCTAAGAATCCCCTTCTCTTTAACATAGCAAAAGTGTTTAACAGGAAGCAGAGAACAAAAGTATTTAACAGGAAGCAGAGAACAACGCAGCAGAAAATAAAAGGCTGAACAAAAATTAGAAACTTTCAGGATGGGTCAAATCAGAATGAGGTCTTTTGTAAGACTTCTCTGAAGTCTCATGGCAATAATGAAGAGAGATGAGCTCTCTCTTTGCACCATTGCCAGCAACATTTTTCCATTCTGAATAGAATGTATTTTTCATGCCATTTATACAATTTAGTACTTCCATCCTCTTGAATTCTAGATAGTTTAGAGATATTAACAGTTATAACAATAGAATATTTTAAAATTCTAGTAATAAGGGGATAAAATAATACAAAAACACAAATAGGTTATTGTAGATCTACAGTCATCTGAAGCCTTCTGGAAAAAGCAAGCTTTTATTTATTCTGGAAGGAGAGAGAAATAAATACAGGCTATTTTCATCTTGTTTTCTTGAGAAGGTGGACAAAGCATGTGGAAAGAAGCAACATCTGCTTGTTCAACTTTTCTTCTCCAGATGATTACATTAGGTAGGCTAATATTATATTATGACTTCTGATTTGCTAGAATTAAAGATTGGGACTATTGCAACAGGTGGGGAGCTTCAGCAATCAGCTATCTGAAATTAATTTAGGAAGCAACCAACACCTGCAGACATGGCTGTGTGTGTTAAATGATGAAGAATCCAATTCTAGCAGATTATTCTATTTTAGGATGCATTGAGAGTTTCAGAAAACCAGATAGAAGCACTTCCCTCAAGAAGAAAAGGCATGTAAACCCCGCCAAGTAGCTCTTCCTGCACCCATTGCCACTGCAGTTCCTTTATGGTTGCTGCCTGATCTTCTGACACTCCTCACAGAATGACTCAGTTCCTCCAGCATTATCAGGACTTAGACTGAATAGGAAGGATGCAATCCTACTAGTTATCTGGAACTCCTAGGGGTCTGTTTGTTTATCACATTTTGGAACTGCCCATTTCCCTCAACAATGATTCCTAATAAGGAATTACTGCATCTTAAAATATATTTATTAGGAGGATTCCATAAGCTGGTTGGTTTATAAAAATGCTACAAATATAGACATCACTTTTGAAGAAGTCCAACAGTGCCTACTGGAACTTATAGAATATCCAAAATTATTTTTCATAGTATGACCTAACAACCTTAGCTGATCTTTGGAATGGAAACAAGAAAGAAAGATATATCTGGTTACCATGCCATGATTAAAATTCCCTTAGTATTTGACTGTTAGTTATTCTTATTCTATACTTACGATTATGGTTAGCTGTGATTATACACACACACACACACACACACACACATACATACATACATACATACATGTCTCTGTTTTCTTTACTGCCATCCTTTTACTTTAAAGTCACCAATACCATTTATGGGAGAAGGGGCCAAAATCAGGGAAGAAAGCAATAAAATGTTATATTACACAATATTGAGTACAGCCATTGGAGGAAGGCTTTTCCATTTAATCTACAGCTGTCTTAAATGAAAAAAGTGTCTATGTGCCAAGCAACGCACACTGAATCTATTACCCCGTGGATATGTTAAAAGCAATGTCATGAGACAGATGAAATGAAACCAAAATAGAATGACAAATTCATATAAGCAGGGAACAAGAGAGCAAAGCAAAAGTTTTAACAGAACACTCGTAAATAAGAAAAAATAATCAGAAATTAAAAAAAATCAGAAAAAAACATCAATAAGGAAAAATATGGGAATGCCAGAAACATTCCAGAAAAATGACAGTATATAACAAAAGCACCAACTTTAATGGCAAAAGTAGACAGAGATTGATCAAGAGGTAGATAATGTCTCAAATACCCATCCTGTGGAAGGCATACTATGAAAGTTATACAAAAAAAGCGAAGTAAACATCCTTAGTTTGGTTTGGGAAGAATAAAAATCATGCACAACCAACTGTCATTACTGCATAGACTACGACCAATCACTGAAGAGAAAGACCCCAAAAACTCAATAAGCAGGCTCATTTTTTGTAAAATAATAATATAAATTCCTTGAAGTAAATGTAGCTCCCAAAATAATTGAAATTAAAGAAAATATTTCATAAAATTCTATAATAAAAATACAAAATATAAAATAGTGTTAAAACATTCAAATTAAAACTGAAGTCAGTAGAATTAACCTCAACAGCTATGGGACTTTTATCATTATTGTCTATATAGAAATACCAACTATATAGTTAACTTTTAGAAGTAATTGGCTATATTTGAAATAATATGTTGAAATAGAAAGCTAATAAAAATTGCTAATAGAAAAAATGTGATCTGTTTAAGTGTTTTTAAAATGTCTATGTAAGAAAAATTATTTACATCATTTAAATACATAATTTTAGCTGCCCTATGAGCATTCTAGTGTGATAGACCTTTTTGTCTTTGTAGATTTAACTTTTATAGGTGTTGGTCAAAAAATATCATTTTACTGCTGTAGAATAGAAAATTAAAAACCCAAAATATAGCATGTTCAAGGGTCTGCCACATTTAAAAAAATCCTAGATCTAAAAGATGCTACAAACACTTGCACTCTGGTATGACACTAAAACCACTACGGATTCTACAAAAGGAATCTCACGGTATACTGAATTAAGATTTTTTAATGTCAGGTAAAATTTTAAATTGCCATTTTTTCACTTTACAGGAAATCTATGTAGACCTTAGAAATAAAGGAAAATAACAAAGGATCAATGGGTCAGTTATTTCTTCCCCACCACTACCATAAATCATGCAAGTGCCATTTTGGGATGTATTAGCAGGAGCATTGAGTTCACCTCAAAAGAAGTGATGTCCAATCTGTTTTGTCTTAGCCAAGATAAGGTTGAGTCTTGGGTCCAGCTCTGCAATCTAAAAATAGAAGAGTCTGATCAACTTACGATAGCAACCTTCAAATAATGAAGGAGCAGCCATGTAGAGAGAAAGTAAAGATATAATTGGTTGTCTGCAGGGCAGTTCAGAACCAGCATGCTAAAACTGTGGAGAATCAGATTCAGGTTACATATTAGGAGGAATTGCTCTCTACTGTAGTAAACAATGTCAATAAGTGAAATAAGATTTCTGAGACTGAATAGCCATTTGGTGAAATGCTTTAGCATATCCCTCCCTGGACAAATTTCAACTAAATCCCTCCCTGGACAAATTTCAACTATAAGGTCCCTTCCACTCTATGATTTTGATTACATTCCTGTATACATATCACACTCCAGGGATGACAACATAATATTTTAAGCATTTTTTAACACAAGTGTAGTGGGTTTATTTGTTAGCTGCTTTAAGATTCTTTCTATAGGATTCCAATAAAATGTTATTATTGCTCAGAAAGAAGAAAGTCTGATTCGTTGATGTTGCTATTCTGTTTGATGCTAGGATTGAGGAAAACAATTAGAGAAAAAATAGAAAATACTGGGACTTGCAGATCGAAGTTGAGGACTTATGGAAAAAGAAATCTATTATATTAATGACAACTGAAGCTCTTGGAGTGATACCTAAAGGATTTCTTCAAAATCTGGAAATATTGAATCTATCAGAATTCCTGAATACCCAAATCCATAATTTTACAAAACACCTACCCTATTTTGGAGCTTTCTGTATTGTTAGACATTACTTAATCATTTTAGGTTGTTGGCTCTTGAATTATTAATTTTCTATCTGTCTTAGACTGTGAATCTGTCAATTATACCAATATATTAACATATAATAATAACATATACTAATAATAACAGTAGTAATGATGGCAAAAAGGGCAAGGAAGATCAAGAATTAGTCAGTACCAGGTGAAGATGAACTGCATGGTTTTTGATTGAAACATTTAACTGGCCTACACCCACTTCATTGCTAATCAATTTAACAATATATTGCAAAAAGGTGAAATTGAAGATTGGTTAATATCTGGCAAAATGTATCTGATAATGAAAGATCCAGGAAAAGGCTTACTTGAGTACTGGAGAGACCAAAGTGGTGTATAAGAAAGAACAAATGAAGAACAAAAAGAGACATGGCAATACAGAGTATTACACAGCTATATAAAAAATAGCAAAATAACAAGACCTGGCAATGGCTAAGAGCAGAAAAATTGAAGAAAGAGAGGGGCTAATTTTGTCTGCACAGGACCAAATCTTAAGAACAAATGCATATAAAGCCAGAAATGAGAAGACAGCAACAGATATCAAATGCCAACTCTGTGTTGTAGCTGAAGAGACAGTGGACCATCTATTAACTGTTGTAAGACATTCTCACAGACTGACTACAAACAATAACAGGACAAAGTAGCAATGGTTCATTGGAAGATCTGCAGGAATACCATTTGCCTGCAAGCAAGAGCAGTGGGATTACAAAATAAAGTAATAGAAAATGAAGGACCTAAATTGCTCTGGGACTTCAGAATTCAAACAGACAGTCACCTGCCATGTAACATTCAGACTTAACAATTGTCAATAAGACAAAAAAGGACTGAACATTATAATCTTCTAAGCTACCCAGAGTCCTCATACAGTTGTTTCTGTTTTGACTAGGGAGACCAATTTCTAATTCACACTTATCCACAGAAGCTAATTGGATGATTTTGGGTCAATCTATCCTTCTCAGCTCAACCTATTTCACAGAGCTTCTCGTGGAAAAAGTTAAGATGAAGTGCAATGTACATAGCTCTGAGTTCTTGGATGAAAGATAGGATGGTAATCTAATAAATAAACAAACAAATCTGTCCCTCGGACTTATTTACATTCAAACTCAAACAAATGGTGGATTCAAAATGTCTGCAGTTTACCCAGCACACTCTGGAATATTGTGAAGGTAGGCTACTTTCACAACAAACCTATTTCATCAACAATTTCATTTCAAGAGAGTTAACAAGTGCTCCCCAGCAAGATCACTCCAAAACAAATCAGCAAGATTTTGTTTCAAGTTTAATTAGGAAAACTGTTAAAAATGGCTCAGCAACCAATTACCTGATCACTTGAAACAGTCTTTTTGATTCTGAGCGTACAATGGAGATCTTTCTACCTAAGAGATTTATCACTGCAGAACATTTTGTAAATAGTAATATTTTTTATTATATTGTTGCAAAACTTAATACATTATATTGTTTTGATACAGTGGTATTTGTGCAGTGTTGATTAACACTCTAATATTTAGGTAACTTAGCTAACTGATTAATATATATATATATATATACATAATACATAAAAAAAGATGTAACTTTGATTGTTTGACTTAGTTGCAATCTTGACTTTTTTGACCTCCCCTGCAAATATCCCAGACTTCAAGTGAGAATTAACTTCAAATTCATTACCTTTAAAGGAGTTGCAGCAACATATATTCTTGAAAATGACTGTGAAAGAAGACTTGGACTATAACAGAGGGTGGGCTGAGAAAAAAAATGAAAAGAGGTTTAGAATTAGATGATGATAAGATTATTATTTGTTTAGCTTTATTGCACTAAGATTAATGTATTACAATACTATTTTGTACAGAAAAAAAGAACGTTATGTATCCTTACGATGCCAGCTATTAGCACACATGTAACAGGCATAAAGAGCATTATGTATTCTTTCATCTTCCTCCTCATTATTTATAAATCATTATAATGGTTATATATTAGGCATTTGATTATGTGCCCATTATTAATTTTTCCAGATAAAACAAAACTTGGCAGAACTAAACTTTTAGTTCATGTCCCAGTTTTCCATAATAATATGCTTGATTTTGCAGCATACTGAGTTTTGTTCCCATACTTTTTATATTAAAATTCTTTAAATTCTACATCTGTGTTTGAAGCTGATCATAATTCAAACAAAAAGAAATACTCTGAATTCTTTTACTTACACAGTAAACTGCTGTTACAAATAGGGTCCATGCAGATGAGTCGCCTCTCAATATATATTAAAAAGCAAATAAAAATATTTCCAAATCTAAATAAACTAAGCCAGATAACCACTTTTTAATGCAAAATTCTATTATATATATGTCTTGTAAACAAAATCAAATTCATGATAATGTGTTTCTTTTTTTTCTGCACTTGTGATGTCTGGAGAGGTACCTACAGTTTTCTTGGCAAGTATTTTTGGGAGTGGTTTGGCATTGCCATTTTCTTGGTGAAATAACAGCGTTCCTCTTTACAGATTGGAGTAGATGTGGAGAATAATCAATCTAGTGTGAAGTACTTTAGTAAAATTAACAATAAATTAAACAAACAAGAAGGCTGAAGGATTCTTCCAGCAGGTGCTTTTATCCAGATGCTAGTTTTGATTATGACATTATGTTGCTTAGTTCTTTTGTTTCATTTCCAATTATTACATTTTTCTGTGTATCATTTTCATTTCTTCTGTTGGCTTCCAAAATCTTCTATAATGATCTATTTTTCCAGGAAAATTTCCATCAGTACTGTGTATATTTTGCCCTTTAATGCTCTTTTTCTTATACAACCTTCGGTTTAAAAACCTAGGTGGATTTCACAGCTTGATTAGGTTTGAATCACTTAATCCATTTTTCCATTGTCATATTGAATATGGGCATCTGTGTGTTTGTGGGGGGGGCAATGCCATCAAACAGGCAATTGAAGTTAAAATGGGTCTTTTTAAAATGAGTCATCTGCATTGCATGCATGTAAAAAGAGGCAGAACTTCAATTGTCTGATTGCACCAAATATTTTGACACTGTTGACCCCTCACCATGATGCCACTAGTCTTTAATTATTTTAAGATAAGGAATGTGAAAAGCTTCTGTTGGTATTTATGAGTGTATGTTATTCACAAGGAATTAACTCACAAACTTTAGAGAACTGGTAATGACCCATAAAAATCATTTGCATGCATAGAGAGTTGTATAGAATCAGAATCAATACCAATAGTTGCCTACATGCCATGGCAAGATTTATGTCTGATTATTTTTCTACCTAAAACCAGTTTTCTAAAGAGTGGATTGCTTCAGTACATGCAATCAACAATGATAATTTGTGCTTGGAAGAAGATCAAGCACAAAGCGTTTATCACTGTGACTTCATCTTCTATATGTACTTCCCCTCATCTTGAACCCTGTGATTTTAAAGCCACTCATATAAAATCACTTGGCAAATACCAAGAGATTAATATAGATACTTACATAATCACCATAGTGACTAGTGAGCAGAGATAATGGTGGTCCAGATCTAAAGGCACCAACCCCATTGCAAATCTCTCAACTATTTGTGATGGCATTCTCTTAAATTCAGAATGAATTATAGTAGTATTGAAGTTTAATGTGGGAAAAAGCCAAAACTCTCACCTACAGCATTTCTACTTATTTAATATAAATTAGCTTTTCAGCCTAAGGCCCAGAAAAGGTAAAATATTTTTTCAGTAAAACTAATCTATACACAGGTATTTGGCTATCTTGAGAAACAGAGCTTCAAATCCCTGTACAATCTGTCATGACTTTAAATGTTTGGTGCTAGTAAAATTTCAATTAGGATAAATACAAATATGCTACCAACAATAGATACTAAATATATACTAAAAATAGTTACAAAGATCTGGGATGGGAGAGAGGGAGGGAGAGGGAGAGATGGAATGATCCAGTCATGTAGCCAGCATTCATGCTTAAGGAAAGACTAATGAGATACTGCCAAGCAGAAAGGCAATCATAACAAAGGCCTCAAGTGGCTTCTCAAAATGCCACACTTTTTGCTACTTATATGAGAGCTTCTGCAATAAAGAGCTTTATAAGAAAGAAAATGCAAATAAACTAGAAGACAATGGAGATGGCATACTTAACATAATATCCAGTTCCAGTCAGATTCTAGATCTCATATTTTACATTAATAAGAATTTTGCAACCTCACTGTAACACATTGTAGTAATTTAAACAAGTTGTTATGACATGGATGACTGAAGCATGGCTAGGTCTATCCAAGAAGGGTTGCATCTGATACAATTTGGTGCAAGTTTGTAAACAACTATTTATACCACAAAAAAACACTTTTCTTCCAATGACAAAAAAGAAAAAAAATCTAGAGACTCTCCCAAGTACATGGAATTCATTAGTCTCTGCTCTATAGCATCTTAATCATCCCTCATTCCAACAGAGAAAAATAAATGTTACAAGCATAAGATTAAGAAAAATAAAGAGATGAATTTTAGTACAAATTAATTGATTAGGATATGTTCTTATATCTACAGAGTACTCCTGAATCAAAGGATAGACAAATCAAGAAGTGTTTGGCACCCCCAAAACTAACATTGAGATATAAAAGTATGCAGAGTGGCTTGAGATAAGTAATTACTGAACACCAAATGTGCAAATTAAGTTGGATTAATTTATATGCACTAACAAATTTAGAGGAAAAGCAAATTATATTTGTAATCAAAAATCATAACTACTATAACATATAGAGTGAAAAGAGCTGAGATGTACAGTTACTCCTTACTCCTTTTTTCCTTTATCAGCCTTGTCTGTTGCAAGACTTGAACATAAGTATCTGACATGAGAGCAGAAGTATTTATGATTTCATACATTTTTTTCAACATAACGGAGTTTTACTAAGGCAGATTGAATTGTTGTTTACACATTAAAAATAAGTTTTCTGCCAATATTAACAACACAATTTTACAGCTGGCAAATATTTATTTTTTAAACAAAATATTGTTTATTATTTATTAAAGGTATACAATCTCCTTGCTTTCCTATTTGAAATTATTATGGCACAGAACAAATAGTAATTATGGCCATTCTTGAAGTTATGGCTACTGCTGTGCCTCTGTGGTCATGTGAACAAAATCTGGCACTTGGCAGTCCAGCCGTATTTATGACCATAACATGAACTTCAACTGCCTCACCCATCTTGCTCCCATCTCTATCCATTTGGCTGCCCTGTACTCTGCCACCACCTGCATCTGCTACCTCTTGTCAGCCCTAGCTGATTCTTATCAATTCTTCCTCCCACTGTCAAGGTGCACCTGGCCATGGAAGCTGCTGGCCCTTCCTGAGGCTTGCATGGCCTCAGGGTGGCCTCCTGAAGAACCAACAGCTGCCTTGCTCAGGACACCTCATCTTTAACATAAAGAAGACAGTGATGGTCAGCTGGTGCCATGAGAGTGGTAGAGGTAGGTTGCAGAGAAGCAAAGGGCAACCAAAAGATAGAGGGGAGATAGGTGGGTGGAGAGAATTGAAACGGAAGTCCCAGGGCAGGAGAAGCATCAGCTCCTTGACTAATGATGGCAACTAACAACTCAACTAACACCTGCACTAGCAGATGGGATTAGCAGGACTGCCATTGCTAACACATATTTTTTGATTCTGGTTTGTTCAAGGGAAAATAATCCAGAGCTCCCATTTGCACATAAAGATAACAACAAATCACATACTTGAGTAGGGTGTTGGACTAGAAGACCTTCAAGGTCCCTTCCAACTCTGCTGTTCTGTTTTGTTGTTCTGTTCTGCCTGAATAGGATTTACTGCTCCCGCTTGCAAAGATAATGCTGCTCATTCACAATTAAATTTCACTTAATATTTTGTCTGACCAAAACAACAAGTGGAGCAGAAATGTTCTCTGAAAATCTGCCATGCACTATAATGACAAAAAGTGGACTTGGGGGCAATTTCTGGGTGAGTATGGCTGATTTCTGACTTTCACATGTTTAACTGAAGCAAGCACTTATATACAGTATCTTGCTTATATCTAAATTAGGCTGTCAAAATGAAGAAAGCTTGAGATAAGACGGACAGGAATATTTTTGAGTAAAAATGAGAGTTAAAAAAAATCTGTTTGGTAAAGCAAACAGAATCAGAATATGTTCAGTAAGCTTTTGTTCTTCAACTCTAGCAATTGCCTACAGGATATTGGGCTTCTAGTTAAAAAAAAGATAGACTTGAGACCTAACCATCTGTGATCTACATTACACCTAGGCTTGCAATATACAGGGCAGATTAGATGACAGGCAAAAGTGCAGCTGTACGAATGTAACTTATCCACTCAGCATTTCTAGTTAAAAAAAGATCCCAGAATATAAAAGATAAGGGCAACATATATAAATATGTATTTTTAATTTTTTTTAAAAAAAAAAAACAACCCTACTCACCCCAATGAGTGAGTGTAAGTGTCTTCTTTAATCTCAGGTCCTCTACCAGAGGCCTGGAAGTTTGGGGGGTTTTGCACAGTATCTAAACAGTTCCTAGCACCATATCTTCTGGGCAGAAAATTCTGAGGTTGTTCTTGGAATATGTTGGAGCCACTTTCCCAGCATAGAAGTCACAGCCCCAAGTGCTCCTACTACCACTGGGACCACTTTAGAAATAAAAGATTAGCTTGAAGTCTGATCTCAAATACAATTGAACAATTCAGTTGCACAAATGTATTCCCATGCAAATCAAAAGAATCATTAAAAAAAAACCCAACAACTTTCAATAAACCAGAAGGAGTCACCAACATGCTTGGAAGTTCTATTACATACCTTTTAGAGGAACTTGAAAACTTTTGGGATGTATGTGAAAAAAAAGTCCTCTTGAACTCTGTAATTTCTTTCCACAATAAATTATTGGAAGACACAAAAAATGTTCTGTTATTGGCAAATAAAATGAAAAATAGGAAGAAGCTTTGTGAGCATAGGGCAGTTAACATATAAACAGGACAAATAATATCTTTGTAACTCAGACTGTACTTAGGATTTTTGATATTGAAGATTCGCAAGAGCCATGATGGAAAAAGGGCAGGGCCATGTCATGCAGACAGATGCCATAGAATTGGATTCATTTTGATAATATTTGTTTGGTGAGATTTCTGATAGGTATTTTATTCAAATTTTCCATTCCAGTTTTGAATGTATACATATGGGAAATGCTATGCCTCTCTTCCTCAACTGAAGGCATATGAAATGCTAATTGGGTAAACTTATAACTTTCTCTTTTCTCCTTTTATTGGTGAAATTATAGTGTTCAGTTGCCACTATGGTCTGAAAGGTTTCCCTTTTCAGAGTGAAAGAAGCTTCTTTCAGTTGAAACTGACACGAAACTAATCTTTTAAAACAGATACTCAAAAAATAAATACAATTTGAATCCAACCTAATAATTTCTACAATTAGACCTCATTCAATTTTTTTCCTAGCATTTTCCAATAAGTGCAGGACCTCTTTTTTTCCCAGGTCAACCAAGTGTTGATCCATTGATTGCAAAGGAATTGACCAACTGGCTTGTTGCCCGAGCCCGATGCTGTGGATTGAGATAGGCTGATTGGCCCAAAGTCACCCAGCTGGCTTTCCTTCCTAAGACTACACTAAGTCCCTAGAATAAGACTAGAACTCACTGTCTCCTGGTTGTTATACTGGTGCCTTAATTACTAGACCAAATTGGTTTTCTTTAGACATACAAAACTGGTTCGTTATTTGTAGTCTCTCTTTTGAAAACATGAAATAAAAGTCACAATCTAACATTTTACTTAACTCACAAAATAATTAAACTACCACAGACTAGTGTAACTACCATCAGAAAACATATCCTCTGTGTTAAAGCAAAGGTTAGACAAAATCTACATGTCAGGGGCATTTAAGCAAAAGTTCACATTACAAGTATAATTAAATAACATTCTTGCATCATATCAAACAAAGGGTACCAGTTATAAATGTAAGTCTGGAGATAGGGTTCAGGCTTTCCTCTCAATAATATTTTAACTGTTCTTTAAAAAAAAGTTTTAGTTATAATTTTTAGTAACCTTTAGTAAGTTATTAAGTTTATTAGGCAGCCAACAGTATATAGAAGTGCTCTAAGCAAGAGTTTTATTGACAAACAATTTCTTAAATTTATAATCAGTCTGCCTCCTTTCCTCATACCAACACTGGAATAAGTTAAGTCTGGTTTTTATCTCCATAAATTGACAGTTTTCTGAGTGTTTCATCCAACTAAATAAAACAGCTACCTTAAGAAGCCATTCAGTGTGGCAAACAGGTTCAATCTTCTTAGTTGCCAGACTGATCACAATCTGATATTTTAATTCTTGGTTCTGAAAATGATGAATTTGCTTTGCTTTGCTCTGCTCTGCTCTGCTTTGCTTTGCTTTGCTTTGCTTTGTGTTGCTTTGCTTTGCTTTGTTTTGCTTTACTTTGCTTTGCTTTACTTTGCTTTGCTTTGCTTTCTACTGTAAGCCCTTTTTTTGCCCCAGCATGATCTTGGCATTCAAGTTACAGTTGAACTAAGCAGACATTCCTAAAGTGTCCTGCCAAAAATAATGGAAAGCTTGATACAATGGAATAGCACCTGAAATGCTTAGGAAGCCATAATGTTTAATGTTGCACAGTTCTTCCACTGGTGCCAACTATTGAATACAGATGCTGAAATGGTCTATAGTGGAGATATTTTGATTATTTTTAAAAATATGCAGCACGCAATAGACATTTAAAACTTGTGTATATGGTAACACAAGCAACAATGATTTCCAGTGTGATTGTTTGAAAAAAAAATCAATTTCAAAATAGCAAAATGCCATCCATAAATTACTAGGGTGGAAAAATAACAAAATAACATTTAATTATTTTAATATGTTAATGTAATATTGCCAAGTGCTGTTTAATAGGAACTTTGTAATCATACAGTAAGCCATTGTAATACTGTTTTAGGTCAGCAGATGGTCCAGTCAAACTTTTCTTTATGAAAAAGAAGCAAGCAAGCAAGAATAAATTGTTCAGCATTAGAGAGAAAGAAAATGATAAAACAAGTATTTTTAATTAAACATCAGCATTATTTCACATATTTCTCAGTTATGCATTTAAGCTCAGCATTCCTCATATAGTTAATCACTATCTCCATTTATCTTAATTATCCAGTCTTACTCTCCCATATCTATCATTTTCTACTTCCAGTTCCTCTCAGTCATTGTCTCTTGATTATAGTTCAATTGTTCATTGTAGCTAACAATTTCAGCAATTCCTCTACCAAGTAAATATTTCTAAATTTTTGTATAGATAAAATATTTCTGAAGCATATATTCAAATGTTTTAAACATACAGCACTTTTATCTATAAAGAGATTCCTATTTTTTTTAATAAGGGTAGAAAAAAATGAGCCCGTTGATTACATCCAGTCTCTTAAGCACTATCGGTGGGGGGAGAAAAAAAATCTATGCCAGGGATTTGTACTGGAAGTTGTTAGACTGGCTGAACATAGACCCAAACAGGAAGCCTTTTTGCTACTGTATATAATGATCCAGGGTCTGAAACTATCTTGCTGGTGGAAAATATATTGCAATATTTAAATGAGTGTTTGAAGCTTTGATTTCATTTCTAGTGTAAATCTATAGCAGAAGTTAATGGCATCATCATCAGTGCTCTGTTATTTATTAAATATATGTACATCAGAACTAGCTTGAGATTAAAATGCATCCCAGTAGAGCACTTGTCTAAAGTGATATCCACTAGGAAGGCAAAAAAACAAAGATGCACTCTTGCATACTATTCTATCACATTCTTTATAAAAAATGCAACATTTACTGCAGCAAAATATTCCATTTTGTTGTTATTATTGCTTTTGAGTCTGTTCATAAGCCCTGACAATTACCTGGAAACAAAGTGGTTTGCCATTTCCTTCTTGATAGAGCTAGGAGGTATGACTGGCCAAAGTTCATTCAGCTGGCTTTGTGTCAAGGCAGGACTAGAGCATACGGGCTCCCAGTTTGCAACCTGGCTCAAAATACTTGGAGAATTCTGGAATTAAGGTACAGAATAAAAGTGAAAGGATATATACCACTCATTGTGATCACAGTAAGCTTTCATATGCCTGGGGACTGTTACTAAACCTGGAAAAAATGTTTTGTGTATGTGTGTGTGTTTGTGTATGTATGTGTCCAGCAGCTGCTCCAGTGGTGGGATTCAGCTGGTTCGCACCACTTTGGCAGAACCAGTAACTAATTTTTTGTTGCCCAGGCCCAGAATGGACTTCAGAAAACCAGTTGTTCACGTATTTGAATCCCACCACTGAGTTACTCCCTATAAAGGCATATAAATTGATTTATTATTTTCATAAAAAAAGAAGTTGTACAAAGAGCTAGCCCTCCACTACATACCAAGTTATTATATAAAAGTAGCTTTATATTTAAGATAGCAAATGATTTTACAATATAAGCAATACTAGATAATTATAAAGTGGAAGAATAGATGGATGAATCCAAATCCTATGTTGGAAGATTTTTTTTTTTTTTTTTTTGCATTTTAACTACTGAAAACGCAGCATTCATTGTTACCCACTATAAGTTTTGTACATAACTTTCTATGTACGCTTTCATAGCTACGTATATTGTACGCTTCTTAAACCACTTATAATATACAAAACTTTGTATACAATATTTTCAAATATTTGCTTACATTGGTTAAGTAAGAATCTGTTCTCATGTTCCACACGCCTTAATATCTCTGGTTTGTACTTAATAATATCTTTCTAATTTTGGTAATTTTAAAAACATGTATTGCCAAACATCAATAAACAGACTTCATATACAGTGAACCAAATTTCCTCTGTTCTTTATATTATTTGTTTACCAGTGGCATGAATTACATATTATGAAGCAATTCACATGTAACATCATCATGGTACCAATTGCTATGACAATATAATGGACTTTCTAAATAATAAGTACTTCTGCCACCAATTAGTAAAAAAACAAGGTTTCCTCATATTGTTAAAAATGTTGCCATTAAACTTTCTGATAAAGCACATTAACACTAATAAAGGTAGATTTTTCCAAAGATTGGGAAGGATTCATGAGTATGAAATGCAAGATTAAAAAGCAAGCCCTTTAGTATTCTCAGGCATTTCTACACAATTTTTATAGTTTAATCATAGCCTTTAAAAGAGAAATTGAGTTAGGCATAGCAGTAAGATTTTGTTGGCACTTCTTTGGAAATGTTTACCATACATGGCTTCATTATTCACAAGTGAGTTGGATGTAATTGGTTCATGTACTATAAATTATTAATTCAAGCACAGGTGTGAGAAATGTGTGGTGGGACATATGTGAAGTTAAGAAGATTTTGATCTTTTAATATTTTGGCATTTTATATCAAAAGGATGAAAAGTTACTAAATATTATCCAAAAGTCATTTAAAAAGGTCACTTTTGTAGATGTTAAAAAAAAGATTTTCTATAAAAAATTAGCTTGTAGATAATTTTTCATAGAAGCATCTCTCAACATAGCAAAATAGTAATTGTTACCAAAATCATTTAAATAATATCTAAAGCTCTTCTTTAATAGAATAATAATGTTTGTTCTGCACACACTGTTTGTATTTTCTGTACAACTCTGATGCAAGTTATATTTTGTATGATCTGTATCAGTATTTTGCATTACTGTTCTAGTCTAATAGGATCAAATAACAAATTACAGTATAGGATAAATGATCTACATTATGAAAGGCAACACATTCCATAGGGTGAAATTCTAGTAGTAAAACTCTTGAGTTTTATAAAAGCATTCAGTTCATCTGGCATTTTGAAAAAGTCAGAAGGCAATGCCAAGTCTGCAATTATAGTATGTTGGCAACTCAGAAATGTAAGGAAATAGTTTAGCTTGTTCAGATAAAATTATACTTTCTAAATCAGACATTGACAATATTGGATAATTCCATTAAGCTAACATGCCAAAATTTATGTTTAAATTGTTATTCAGAATAAATGTAATAAGAAAGGGTAACATGATTGCCAGCTCTCAGGGATAGCCACAAAGAAGAGGAACTCAACCTATTCTCCAAAGCACCTGAAGGCAGGACAGGAAGCAATGGATGGAAACTAATCAAAGAGAGAAGCAATCTAGAACTAAGGAGAAATTTCCTGACAGTCAGAACAATTAACTAGTGGAACAACCTGCCTCCAGAAGAATGCTCCAAACACTGGAAGTTTTTAAGAAGAAAAACTCTAGTCTATGGTATAAAGCAGACATGTCAAACTCGCAACGTCACGTGACATCGCGTGATGTATCAGAACATCTTCCTCATTGCTGGCAATGGGGTGGGTGCAGTTTCCTTGTGACGTGTCCGGCCTGCGGGCCGGCAGTTTGACATCCCTGATATAGAGTTTCCTGCCTGAGCAGGGGGTTGGACTAGAAGACCTCCAAAGTCCCTTCCAACTCTATTATTGTTGTTGTTGTTATTGTTGTTGTTATTATTATTATTATTGTTATTACCTTGAGTTATTTGTAAAAATAATAAAGGCAGAATATAAATAAATAAACATGATCGTAAGATAACTTGCATTAATGCTATCCTTGCATATTGTTCTGGTTATACTGCATGATTGTACTATGTTGTGTTTTTCACATTTCATAGTAATTTAAAAAAAAACTTTCAAATGGAAAATTAAAAGTTGTCAAGGAACAATTTCCCCTATCAATCTGTAAACAGAGATTCCAAAATCTTAGTAATAAAAAAGGGAATCTCCAAGACAATAAAGTCTAAATTATCTACTCAACTTCAGCTGATTAGTCCCACTGATTCTGGCATAAATCCATATCTCCCAGTTAGTCTTGTTTGTAGTCTGAATTGCAAACTTAGTAGATGGTAGTGTTGCTCATATTTCACATTCTCTTCTTAGTCACACTAGTTGGAAATACAGTTTGCTTAATTGCTTATGTTTTTTATTACCATATTTTCTGTTGCAAAATATCTAATGTGTGCTAAGAGCTACGTGACACAATGAATTCATGTGTTTCCCATTGTTGTGAAAACAGAGAACATAAAATGTAATTTTGGTCACTTAAAAGAAATTAAATTTTGCCAAAAAAAATAAAGCAGAAAACCTTTTTCAGTACTAAGCAAACTTACGTCTTTGCTCCCAAGCATTTGTATCAAATCTCTATAATATCCATACTGCCATTCAGAAACAATACTAGTAAAATCATATAAGGTACAAAAAAGCATTAAAATGCTTTTGTGAATTGAACAATAAGATACGTTTATTATGAACAATAACAACAACAACAACAAAAAAGAATGGGATCCAGTGCCCAGTTTTCCTCATCTCAGTACGAGGGATTTCACATGTATTATCCTGAAGTTGTCTCATTGGCATGTGTTTTTTTATATATATAAATGTTTTATTGATTTTTAAGAATTACAATCTTTAGTGCTTAGTAAACAATGTGTTTACTAAGGTTCACATATCTGACATTAACTTCTTCAGTATAAATCTGTTCAATACTACACACTCCAGTATTTTTCCCCTAATCTTCCTTTTCCCCCCATGTTTTTTCCATTTTCCCCTCATTACACAGTTACAGTTTTTGGTACTATTGATGTATACAAAGTTAGATATAAGCATCTTCATCATATTTTACTAATATTATACAAATTATAATAATAATATCAATTCATAAATCAATATCCTATTTTTCATGCTCTTGATAAGATTTAATTTCTCATCAGTATCTGAAATATCTTTGTCAGTTATGATTTTCTCAATATTAATGACTTTATATAACTAAAAGTTTTATTCATACCAATCTTCTGCTTATTTTCATATTTCCCATATAAAAAAAGAAAGAAAAAGTGCTATTTTAGTTCTAAATCATATCTTTCATTATAAAAGTTTAATTATATCTAAGGGTCATTGACATGTGTTTTTATGCAAATAACATTGGTTATACAAATGGAATGATTTGTATGATTTATTTTGCAGCAATGATGTACGGTACTTTGTGTAATTTGCATCGTTACCATAATGCAGTGTTTGATTTCATGGACTTGCAGACCCATGCAGTCTCATGTAATTTCTTGTCCTAACCATGTAGCTGAATTACAAGAATAGCAGCAGCAGCAGGTCAACTTTGAATTTCCCTCAAGCCTTTCCAGAATTAAACCTAGAAATAATTTAGGTTAGTCTTGTGTATCCATTCCATCAACTGCTATCCAAATTTACTCTCAGTTACACCACTTACACTATACCTGTATTTCATTCCTTGCAAGACTAGCTTACTAGTTGTACTGAAATACCAGAAAAGTGAGTTCTGAAGTACTAGCTCTATCTTTATTATAAGGTTATAGTAACAGAATCTTGAAAAACTAAAAGACACCTTTCTGTCCCTCGTGTTTGCTCTCTTGAAAACTAGGAAGGGTCCCTTGTGACACGCTTTTGCCACTCCTCATCCTACAGATATAAATTTCATTTATAAGACCGTGGTCTAGATCATGGCACTTCCTTTTGTTTCCCAAGGTTATTCATACTTAACCTCTACACAGGTTTTAACCTGGAATGAAACTGCTGCTTGGACAGGTAATCAACTCACCTGTGTTGCATGAGTTGTGCAGCTCCAGAGTGCACCAGCAAAAGGGCAGGTGGGATGCAGCTGCTGCCAGACATCATCAGCCACGCACGCTCACCACCTCTTGTGCACACACCGGAGGGGGGCGGTTGCCCGGCTGGGCTGATTACCCTGATACCGTGTTTTCCCCAAAATAAGCCCTAATGTGTCTTTTGGAGCAAATATATATATAAGCCCCGGTCTTGTGTGTGTGTGTGTGTGTGTGTGTGTGTGTGTGTGTGTGTGTACGCACACAGGACCGGGGCTTATTTTTGGAGAAACACAGTATATTAGGTTGGGGAAATCTGCCTTAGATCAAGAACAGAGCCTTTTTATTTTATTCTGTGTAGGTTTTGGAATTTTTTTGTTTTGTTTTGCTAAGTGGCACAAATAGTCTTTTCACCCAATATCTTGGCAATAAAAGCACACTGATGTTCCAGTTCATTAAAAGGGAGGAGGCAAATAGTGGAAAGATATGCAATGCAAATAGTTTATACAAGGATCGAAAAAATAGGGTAGAAGATAATGGAAAGTTATATTTGGTGCTGAGAAGACCACATAGAGTCATGCTTGAATTCGAAAATGAGAGGGGCTGGGCTTCAAGAATGGGTTTGCCAAGAAGCTGCACTCTTTGATGGCTGTAAATCCAGATGTCTGGGAGATGTTGTGGTTATTTAGTGGCAAAGAATGCCATTGTTCATATGCACATATGCATTCTATTTCTACTTTGCATGCCCATGGTATTTAAAACAGGTTCTGGAGTTAAGCCTTAGGTCTTTCTGACTCAAATTAACCTCTGGGAGAGAGCAGACAATAACCAGAATTCTTATTGCACTTGCCATCTTCAAAGCATTTTAAACAGAACCCCAAACACGTTTGCTTTCAGGCAAGTTGCTATTGTTCTTCTTATCTCTTGTCCTGCTTAGTTTTGCACATGCTCACCCTAGTTCTTCAGCAAAGCTCATCAGTGCATAATGTAAGGGGATTTATTTTTCTGTCAGCTTGTCCCACAGCTTGATAAGGACTGAAAGGGAATGATTCATCCATGGTTATCCTGCTAGTTTCTATGCCTAAGCTAGAATCTGGCTCTCAAGATTACTAGTCCAGCAACTTAACCACTACATTGCTCTGGGAAAACCCATTTTAACTTAAGTCCAATTAAATGCGTTTAGGAGCAGAGGGACTATTGCTGACATTATTCAATATATTGGAAATAAATGCAATTTATGGCTAAAATATCTGAATATAATGCTACAGTATGACTAGACTGTAACGATCAGTGGAAGAATATGTGGAGTAAAGGATTGAAATTTACATTGAATGATAACTTGAAAGATAATTATCATAAAATGATACATCATTGGTATTTAACACCTGATAAGTTGTCACATATGTAGAAAGGTGTGTCAATTATATGCTGGAAATGTAATCAATCTGAAGATACTGTTTAATCAACTTTGGTGGACATGTAAGAAAACTAAAAAATGTTGAGATCAGATACGTATTTTAATTCAGACAATTATTGGAGCAAACGTACATTTGAAGCTAGGACATACAGTTTTGAAAAAAAAATGGAGCTTTGTTTTTATATATGATAAAGCAGCAAAATTTTTGTATGCACACAGATGGAAGGATTTATAGATTCCCACAAAGGAAGAATAGATGATGAAACTAATGGAGTTGGCGAAGATGGCAAAATTGACTATTTTGATTAAAGAAAAGACTTTATCAAGTTGTGTTTTCTATTTGGAAACCATTACCCTAATTTTTTTGCTTCAAATCAAAAGAAATGAAACTTTAATTTTGGCATTTGGTGTTTATCATTATATAAATATTGTGTATTATTGTTAATCTGAGAGTAAATGGTTACTATATTTTATATTTGTATCTGCACCAAAAAAGTCTTTCTTTTTCTACCTTTTCCTTTTTTGTTCCTAACTTGTTTCTTTTCCAATTTTTTTATTTTCTATTTATTTTTGTTTTCTTATGTTTTATTTTTTTGATGAAACTTAAAAGTTTTCAAAAGTTTACAATTTTCAAAAAAACAGAGAAAGAGAATTCTTTATTTAACTGTGTTTTGGTATACCAAAAATTGTTAAAAGAGAATGTGGGATGATAGCTTATCACCTGAATTATAATGGTGTACTGGAGAAAGATGTACCTTCTTTATACTTAAGCTTGAAACTACTGAATCTTCAGGTTCTTTTTCACCCTTTTCATTGGATACTATAATTTCAAAAGCCTCAGTCATATAGCATATGATCTGGATATGACCTTGTCCTTAATGCCCTTATCAATTCCTATCTATAAGACCTTTCAGCTTGTTGTTCTATTGCATACCTGACATGAACGACACTACAACATCTGAGGAATTATTTCTCATTAAATAATATTTTCCTCTATCAAGTATTTCATATGGAATTATTTTACTGCAGCAAAAATCTGTAACTTTTTATTAAAGTTTTAGTGCTATGTACTACTGCTCCTTGGGAACTAGGGACAATTAATTCTCTGTATAGGCTTTTTGAAGGAATACTTTGTTCTAGGAGCCATGCCCTAAAGTATTTTAAAAATCTCTACATAAATCATGCTTTATTACCACACTCATAATATAGCAAAGATCTATTTATATTGGTTGTCAAGTCCCAATAGTTAGATCCGAGTTAAATTTTGCTCAGGTTGCTTAGATTTAGGTCTTACCTGCAGTTATCTATACTTGCTTGGTTGCTCCATAGCCAGAATAGAACAATTTTTTTCAGAATAGAAACAAACAGCCCACCTCTCACCCATCAGAAAATTTACTTATATGGGCACTTTACTCCTTAAAAATAATCTCATCATCTTCCTATTTCGGCTTGAATATAGGTAAGCCTTTATTAGTGGCCACAATTTGGATTGGCAATTTGGCATCTAAAGGTTTCATTCTTAGAAGTTAAGTCTCCTGCTAGGAGAATAGATTAGGACCCAAATAATAGTGTTTTTTTTTTGAAAAAATAATTTTAATTAGTAAAATTAATTCATAATGTTAGAATTTGTAGGACACAAATTGGTCTCATCTTAATAAAAAAAAGTTTTTAGACCATTTTAAAAACCAAAATAGCTTTATCTGTTTGTCTGTCTATCTAGCTATCTAGCTAGCTATAGAGATGACTTACTGAAAAACAAATACATAGACAGGATCCAACTCTTTATAAGTAATTAGTGAACATTGATCAATTGCAGTGGCCTGGTTCACACAATATACATGACCAAATCACCATAGGTAGGGGTTTGTTGATTAAACTGACAAACTCCATACTGTGACAACTGAGGAGCAGTTTTAACATTAACAAAGCACTTGTGACCCAGCCTTCTCAGTCAGTTACAATATGCAACCTTCCAAGACTGTGAGTTCAAGTCTTGCCTTAAGCATACAAGCCAGCTGGGTGACCTTGGGCCAGTCACTCTCTCTTAGCCCCTCACTTCACAGGGCTGTTGCTGTGGGGAAAATAGAAGAAGGAAGGTGTGTTGAGTTGTTTGCAAAAATAATAAGGACAGGATACAAATAAATAATAAAATATGAAAATAATTGGAAGCTGAGTTAATGGCTGACTCAGTTAAACAAGGCAAACATATGTAAAAATGAAATAAAATGAAACACTGTACCATGATTAGATGAGGATCACATGCTTCTCCTGCCTTACTGTGGTAATCTGTGTTTCAGCTTTGCCAACTCATCTATCTTTCCTCATCTCTGCTCTTTTGGTTGTTCTGCACTCCAGCACTGCAGCTTACCCCAAATGTCACTCACTCACCTTTGCTGTCTTCTTCATCCCATTGCTGATAAGACTGCTGCCCTTTGTGAAGCCAAAGGAGCCTGTGTGACATTATGCCAGGCCTCCCTAAGATCTTGTGAGGTTTCCATGACAATGTGCAAAGCCAGCCTGAGGCAATGTCTCACTGAGGCAGTTCCTGGCCCTTTATAAAGTATTTGCAAGCCTTTGTGAGGCAGAGCCTGGCTGAGGCATCTGCTAGCCTTTTGTGAGGCCATGAAGGCTTCTGTGACACCATGCCAGGTCTCCCTAAGGCCTCCCTGTGGGAGTGGCTCACTGAGTCAGTTCCTGGCCCTTTATAAAGTTTTGCAAGGCAGAGCCTGGTTGAAGCATCTGTGGCCCTTTGTGAGGTGGTACAAGACCTCTATGACACCATGCCAGGCCTCCCTAAGGCCTTATGAGATCTCCATGACAGTGTGCAAGGTCTCCCTGTGACAGTATCTCATTGAGGCAGCTCCTGGCCCTTTATAAAGTATTTGCGAGACAAGTCTAGCTGAGACATCTGCTGGCCCTTGAGGCTATGGGAGGTCTCTTGGATCCATGCCAAGCCTCCCTAAGGCCTTCTGAGGTCTCCACAACAGCTTGCAAGGCCTCCCTGTGACGATGTCTCACTGAGGCAGGTGCTGGCCCTTTATAAAGTCTTTGCAAAGCAGAGCCTGGTTGAAGCATCTGTGGCCCTTTGTGAGGCCGTAGGAGGCCTCTGTGACACCATGCCAAGCCTCTCCAAGGCCTTGTGAGATCCCCATGACAGCATGCAAGGTCACCCCATGTCCCCATATCTCACTGAGGCAGCTGCTGGCTCTTTGTGAGGTCTTGTGACTCAGAACCTGGCTGAGGCAGCTGCTGTTCATTTGAAAGGCCTTCACAATACCGCACAAGGCCTCCACCCAGCTTCAGCAACGGCTTGTGAAGGCCATGCAAAGGAGATAGGAAGATGGAGAATTTGAGGTGCATGCTACAGTTGTAAATGTGGGTGGGCTACCAAGTGCCCAAATTTTGATTATGTTTTGGCAGGGGCACTGCAACAGCTGTAATTCTGAGAACCAGTTTCAACTACCATTTGTTCAGTACCATCATAACTTTGAATGGATGCTGAACAAATGGTTGTTAAGCAAGGATTTCCTGTAATTAGTTTATGGGATTGATGTGGGAGGTTGGGGGCTGTTTTCCATTATAGAACCTATATAAGGTTCTTTCCTAACCATTGGCCATCTGTTTTTGCTATCATATTTACTTATATTCCTTTAGGTATGTTATATCCTTTTTAATTAAAGCTTTTATGTTTTTCTGCAATGCTGTGTTCAAGGTTTTATAACTGATTGCCAGGAAAGTCATTTCTTTCTTTTTTTTTTAATAATTTTTTATTTTTCCAAACTCTCCCCCATACATATACCATGATATTTATCAGATGTTAACATACATTCTTTTTACATTCATATATAAGATACTTTTAATAAAATGAAATAAATACATACACATGACTTTTGGTGTTGCTCGCCCATTTCCCCTTTCACTGTATCCACATTCCTTCTTCTCTACCTTCTTTCTCCCTTTCTTCTCTTCCCTACTTCCCTCTTCTTCCTCTCCTCTTTCCTTCACCACTCTCCTCCCCTTTCTCCCCACTTCTCCTCTTCTTCTCCAACCTTCCCATTTCCTTCTCCCCTCCTTCACTCTTTTCTCTCTCCTCTCCTTTCTTCCCTCTCATCCCTCTTCAGATACAATTCAGAGGTAATATCCGAGCAACTCCTCTCTCCAAATTTCCCTATGTGTATTATATACAATAAGATTAATTTTCTCTTACATTAATACTTCTATTTATCTAACCTTCTCAGTATATACTTCTATAAATATTTATACAACCTCCAGTTATTCAATAATGTGTCGCCTGGGTCTCCCTCCTTATCTGCTCCTTCTTCTTCCATCTAAATTGATGTTAACTATCTTTTAACCGTATTCTCTTTTCAGCCAATCATAAAAAGTTCCCCAGATTTCATAGTAGTCTGACTCTGTCTTATCTTTAATTGTCATTGTTAGTCTATTCATTTCTGTTCAAGGTTTTATAACTGATTGCCAGGAAAGTCATTTCTGATCAAGCTGTAGATGATCTCTTGAAGTTGGAATATATGTAATCTACCTTTACCAGATTAAGGTGTTATTTAATTTTTACTAATAAAATGTTTTACTAAAATCATAGATAAACAAGCTACAGTCAACCCTTCAGATTGATTTCTAAACCTCAGTGGAGATGTATAGCTGATATGCTAGAAAATGCCAATATAACCTTAACAAACTCTACTACCACCATAACTCAAACCAATGAACTGGTATATGCTATAACCATTGTAATCCTGGAGGTATTTGGCTACATGATCACAAAGAACAGAAGTACATAGCACAGATACACACACAAACACATACACAGGCTAAGATCAAGGCAACTTAGAAAGAGGTTAGATAGTTCATGGAAGTGAAGATTATAGGAGTGAAGATTAAGGATAAGACTTGGTTACTGAAAAAAATATAAGAGCTTGACCATCTGAAGATCTAGAATCTGCTAAATAAAGGCTCATGGCACTGGTTACTAAGATAAAAAGATACACTATGGGCCAACAAAATAATTGCCCTGTTTTCCAAAGACCTCTCCAATGTATACTATCAACTGCAGTGCAAAACAGAATTAACAGTAGAGCAACCTACACCATAAATTGAACAGTACTGGAAGAAAATATGAGAGAAAGAGAAGACACATAATGTCAATACAAAATGGTTGCAGGACCTGAGAAGAGACCAAAGCAATCTCCCAGTCACCATCACAGTAGCAGACATCCAACAGTGGATCAAGAATATGAAGAGCTGGAGAGCACCTGATACCCAAAAATGAGCTGCTGAAACAACGCCTGAGGCAACAGCAGATATGAGAGAAAGATCAATCAGAGGAAGAGATTTTTATGGGACATCCCAATCTAGACGACCAGACAATACTGGCCAATTAACCAGATACTGGGGTAATAGACAAGAGTAGAAGACAGTGGTGATAGATATAGCAGTGCCAAGTGACAGCAACATCAGCCAAAGGAGTATGAGAAGCTGGAGAAGTACCAGGGTCTAAAGGAAAAACCAGAGTGTCATGTAAAGGAAAGGCTAAAGTAGTTTCTGGGTGGTAGGAGTAGTTGGGGCTGTGACACCTAAGCTGGGGAAGTGACTCCAACAGATATCAGGAACAACACCAGAGCTCTCTGTCCAGAAGAGTGAAATGCTGGTACAAGCTAAGATACTACACACAACCATCAAACTCTCAGGCCTCTGGTAGAGGACCTGAGACTGAGGAAAATACATACCATCCATAGGGGTAAAAAAGGATTCCCAAGAATATTTTGATTCGTTCAAAGGTTAACAGTTGCCAAATAAAAGAAACTGCAGTGACATTTGTACCATCACTGGATTGAACATAAACTTTCCTTATTATAAATTTCTGTAAGAACAACAAGGATTTGACTAAAAAATGGTGGGAAAGAGCTGTATAATATATTGGCAGGTTGCCATCTAACAATGTTTATGGCTGACTATATTGGATCAACCTTTATCTTGCTCCACATAATAAGCCAGGTCTGGCAAAGACTCAACTAAAAATTTACAGAATTTACAGGAGCCTAGCGTAGCTTGAGTCACATTTCCACTGACATATAATTGGACTAGATTAGTTTAATCCAAAACATACTAAATAGTTTAGGCTAGAAATATTCCCTTGTTCTGGATAGATAAACAAGAACTTCATTTCATTTCTAGCTTCATAACTTTTAAGGTCTCTTCATTTAATACAATATTTAGGACAAAATAGAGATTGCTAAGGTCAATTGGTAACCAGACTCTGAAACAAAGTCTAGCATCTAAATCCTCCTAAATTGATGCTATCACGAGACATTTTTACTTGTTAGCACCCCTGGCTCTTCCCATGCATATAACGATGACTGATAACAGTCAAACGAACTTAACACCAATGTCTATAAAAAGATATGGATATGGATATATTATATGTTCATGTGTCGTTTATGTAAAGCAGCATTCTAGAACAGTCAAGAGTCCAATTTTGGTCTATGAATGCTAAGCTTACTTCAAATCAGGGAGAAGCTAAGGAATAGGAAAATAAACAAATATGATTTAATTTTTCATGTTAATCAAGTAAAGTTAACATGATATGTTATAAACATGATTACTTCCAAGATCTTTAATAACTTTTTCTTATATCACAGAAAAATTGGAACTCAGATGCAACATTTAGTGGAATCCTGGGGGTGAAGCCAAGATTTTGGAAGACTGCAGATCTTCTGACTTCAATTGTTTAACCTGTTATTACATATGACTGTCCCTAAAAGTGACCCCATTATTCTACAGTCAAGAAAGCTTTGACCTTTTTTTTAAAGAGCAGAATAAACTAATTAAGCCTTTCAATGTAATAGGAAGCTTCTGCTTTTTTAGTAGAGTGGGAAAGGTTGTATCTGTGTAGACCATACAAATAATTGCTGAAATTATTTAGCATAATTATATGGTGATAATATTTGGCTATGTTCCCACTCCATCTGGATCAAGAGAGACTGTATGAAGGCTGAACAGTTGTAATCTGGACAAATAAGATGAAGCTAAATCCAGAGCCAAGAAACACTGTTAATAGGTGATTCTGAAGTTTGGGAGTTAGACAAATAGAAGGTGTTCTTTTGTTTATTAAAAGTTTTATTAATTTTTAAGAATTACAATCTTAATGTGTTTAGTAAACAACATGTTGTCTGGGTTCACATATTTAACATTAACTTCTTCAATAAAAATCTATTCAGTGCTGCATAATCCAGTATTTTTTCCCTGATCTTCCTTTCTTCCCCATATTTTTTCCATTTTCTCCTCATTACACAATTACAATTCTTGGTACTATTGATGTATATAAAGTTAGGTATAAACATCTTCATCATATTTTACTATATTATACAAATAACAATAATATCAATCCATAAATCAATATCATGTTTTTCGTGCTCTTGTTAAAGTTTAATTTCCCATCAATATTTAAAGTATCTTTGTCAGTTATGATTTTTTCAATATTAATTACATTTATATAGCT